AATTGTTGTATTAAAATGTATTCTTTCCAGTATATTTCCTTCCTTGGGAGTAAATGTCAGTGATCTGTTTTTCTCCCAAACGAGTGAATGTTTTAGCAGTATGTTTTGGTATACTTAACTGATAATAAGGAGCTCAGACTCTCTTCAGCCTTGATGGGAGCTGTTATTTGCTAGTGTCTGTTATTTGTGTGTGTGTGTGTATGACATTCTATGTAGGTTCTGGACGGTCGGACCAGACACCCCGGCGCCCTTCTCTAACCTGCGAGGCCACCACAGACCTAAATCCAATGAGTGGACGACAACTATCTTACTAATGGCGATAGGCACCCCTATCTCCTCACATGTGTTAAATTGTTTAGGCTCTTAATGTTTCTTAGCCAATGAGAATCATTCAACCTGTAAGCAATGACGTAGCTTAGACCTTGGAAATGGTATAACTGCTGTGATCTTTGTAACTGTAAGCGGGGCGGCCTACGAACTCCTGTGTGAGTCTTGAAGCTGACTTCTGCTGATGAAAATGCAAACTATCTTCAGTAAAACTTTTCTTTAATTTTTTATAATTCTGACTCCGGGTCTTCATTCTTCATATCTGGTTCTGGGTCTTTGACTGTATACCCCTTACAAAACTTAACAGGATCTAATGATGTATAACACTTAAATGTAAGATCAAAATCAACCGAGTATTTTGAGTCTCTTTTGCACTGATAAGAAAAAAAGCGAGCAGATCACGCCGGCGTGATTGCCGACCCCAGAGGGTTAAGAACATTTTTTATTTAGTACAAAATGTGAACAATGACAGCACTGCTTATTGAAACATGAAAACATTTTGAAATGTCAAAATCTGTTAAATTGGCACAAAACTCCTTGGATTTTAACAGAAACATACTTTCTAAAGGAACTTTGAGTCTGCACTGAAAATTAACAATAAAACATTTGAGCATACAATTACAAGTCTCAGTGTATGACAATAGTGTCTTTTTATCTGTATCTGTATCTTAAAATGTGATCAAGCAGTTACATTCTTAACAATTCACAGCATAATTAAAACTGGGATTTATACTACATTTTATTTTATTTTTCAAGCATTTGCTTGTATAATTGCAATCTTCAAGCTAAGATTTCTCAGGCAACATTGCTAAAACCAAACAAGCAAGGGGAAATGTGTGTTAACTCATCTTTAACTTATGCTTTCTGTAACTTTTGATTTCTGAATGAGGTGGACAACTACATGTTAAACTATCTCCATTACCCAAATGTTGCTCTCCAAAACAGCATTACATTCAGCACGAAAGTCTGGAAAATTCTCATAGTTCTCACACAGCTGAAGGAACATCCCACATGTACGACCAATAGGGCGCCTTGTGAAATCTGACATCACTGCAAACTCAACAGAGATGCTGTCACGGTGTGGGTTTTGTAGGTGTGTTCGACTTCATGCAGCTCTGCTCAGACCGATCGGCGGCTGACTTGAAACAGTGCATGCCGGTTAGAAATGTTGTCCGACTTGATGCAGCGCCAACGCCACATGACTGTGACGTATGCCATCGAAGTACCGCGAGAGCGTTTCGAGAGTAGCCGGAGGACTCAGCCAGCGCAGCTTCTCAAGAGCAGCTGCACGAGCTCTGATGACGTCACAGCTGTTCCACGATTCGCCGGGTTCACCGCATGACAACGATCACGTGCGTTTCGTGTTTATTCTCACACCTTTAGTTCCACTAAAGCTCACAAATCAGTTTTTTATAACAGTAAACAGTCTCTTCATGTAGTCGCGATGCTATATTGTGTCATATTTATCAAAATAAAACTGATTAAAAAACGTTGACTCCACTTCATTGATATAGCCTATATAGGCTTATTTTGAACTTTATTCTTTATTCAGATGCTGTATGAAGCAGTAAAGTATTGAATGAAAATGTGTCTGAAATATCTGTGTAATTGGCAAATATTGCATTTATTTCACTTCAGCTGTGGTAAAGTATGCAAACACCACGTGAGCGGTCACTACTGGAACCAGAAAGTGTCCGACTTCACGTCTCCGTTTCCAGCTCCTGCACGCGGCAACTCTCGCCGATCGGTTACATCCAGCCGCAGCCGATGTCGAACACACCTAGAGTCTTGTTCCTTGTTCTTGTCTGTCATGTGATTCCCTGTTTGCCATGTGTCTTGTTAATTGTCTGATCATTGTTCCCATGTGTTTCTGATTAGCCACGCCCCTGTGTTATCTCGTTTAGCTTGTTTGTCCTTGTATTTAAAGGCGGGCATACACTGTGCGAATTTCGTCCGATTTTGAGCCGAATTCTGACTCGTGCGACTCTTTTTCGGGTCGGGCCGATTTTCAGCTTTGTCGTGCGTCGTTTGTCGTGCAGTGTTCGTGCAGTATACAAGGGGAAACGAGAGGCGATTAACCTCTCCCGACCGGCAATCGGATGGTCGGATGGATTTCTGACATGTCAGAAATTTTGGTCGCCTCTCGTGAGGTATCGCACTGTTGAAGCAGAGCTACGAACCGTTTGCCGCGTTTCCCTCACTGCGCATGCGCGAAAACATAAACGAAACCATGGCGACACGGCGTGTAGTGTGGACTGAAGTGATGGAGGCAAAACTTGTGGAGTTATGGCAGCAACATGCCAGCCTTTTCGACGTGTCATCGTCAACTTACCACGACAGGAATGCCAGAGAGAAAAGTTGGGAGAATATAGCTGCTGAGCTGCAGCTGCCTGGTAAGTTAATGTATTTTTCTTCAGATTTCCGCTTGTCCCAGAGAGAGAGAGAGAGAGAGAGAGAGAGAGAGAGAGAGAGAGAGAGAGAGAGAGAGAGAGAGAGAGAGAGAGAGAGAGGTGGTGTAATTCTATGGTCCTCTCTCGCTCTCGGTCTGTCAAGTTTCAGTTAACTTTTGAATTAACGTTACTGTATGATACAAAATTATTTATATTTAGCTAAAATAGGCTATAAAGTAGTCAGTCAATTAGGTCCAAGTAAATAGCTGGGAGAGAAAATGTCCTTCCTCAAAAACTTAAAGCACTGCTTATGTAATTTGTATCTTCTATTGTATTTGTTCTATTGTTAGTAATAGTCTCCAATTGTGTTTAATTTGCTCTTATTACTAATAACTACAATTATTTTCTATATTCATTACAAGGTGATAAGTTAAAACATTTAATTTTGTGTGTGTGAGTCAGAGAGAGAGATGATAGAAATACTGTTATAATAGGAGGATGCAGTAATAACGAAGGGGTAAATGTACATGTTGTAATTGTTGTTGTTGTTTTGCAGTGAATGAGGTGAAAACAAGGATAGCATCGCTAAGAACCCAATATGGCAAACTTATAAAGCCTAAACCCAGTGGCAGTGGACAGAAACCCCTTACCTCCAAGCAAAACTGGATCCTCAGACATCTGGACTTTTTAAAGGCCCATGTGATTCACAGACCCACCGAATCAACTCTGAGAGTAAGTGATATGAAATGTCTGCAAACTTAATTTGTCTTGTATCTACTAGGCTACATCCCTTGCCTTAAATTGCACTCTGCACTGTCATCCTCTGATTCTGTATTGCATGCAAAGGTGGTATGTATTCTTAGACTGAGGGCACTTATTACATTGTAACTTGATTGTTATCCTTCATTGTGTTAAGTTCACTGTAAGTTTATTTTGACAAATGCGTCAGCTAAATGAATAGGCCTAAATGTAATTGTGAAAGTTAATTACCTACACAAAATTGGCAAAGTCTTCACTTCTAACCTTTTGTCTTTACCTGTGCTGTTTATAGCTTGACTCTGACTCAGAGGACGTTGGACCAACAGAGGACAGCCAAGTAGAAGATGATCACATGCATGATGTGTGCACCATTGATAATGGCCTATGGTCTGAGATGTCATCTTCTGCTTCTTGCAGCCAGCCTCCAAGCAGCCCAGCAATGGAAGGGGAAACCTCAGAGTCTGTGCGTGGTGACACTGCTAAAAGGCCTAGGTTGGGCAGAACCAAGGCAAAGCCATCGGACAGTAATATTGAGATGGCAAAACTCACATTGTTAAAACAGGTGCATTCAACACTGTCTGCGACAAATAATGACTGTCTGGAGATGTTTGGCCAGCAAGTAGCAAACGAGCTGAGAAATGTTAAAGATAAAGCACTGCAGCTAAGACTTCGGAGAAATATCATGAATATGTTGTATGATGCTCAAGAGGCTGAGCAAGCAAGTCAGTACCAACCACCATTTGTGGGGGCACCTTCATCTCAGACAAGGCCTTTCACATCTGTGCCAGTGCAATATCAGATATACCAGGCCCAGCAGAGCCCTCAAAGTGAACTGGACCACCAGGCCCAGTCACAAAGTCTGCCTGCACCACTCTCTTTTGTAAGGATGCTTAATTAGTTTAACACCAAAAAAAAAAAAAAAAAGTAATCTACCTCTGTAAAGGGTTGCAATGTTTTTGAAAACTTAATTTCTTTGGGAGTATACATTATTATTTTGGTTTATGTATACTTGCACAGCTGTGTTTGAATGCATGTGCAAAACCTGTCTGTGAAATCTTAGTTTACCTTTACTACTGCAATTAGCACTTTATGTTCTTTCTAGTGCAGTTACATTGTACTTGGTGTGTGATTCCTAGTCTTTTTTTTTGGGGGGGGGGGGACGGGGGGACGGGGGGGGGGGGGGACACCATCCATTTGTAATCTACCTCTAATGTGGCAGTAAAGGTTGAAGGTTTGTTATGCACTTGTGCCTTAAGAAAACATTTGTTTTTGAAAGAATATAATATAAAGTAATATTTTTGAATATATATTTAATGCAATTGTTTGGTTTTGATTTCAGGGAATTAGTCATTTGACTAACATCTGTTGTTATCTGTGCAGTAAAAAATAATGTTCTGAAGACTATTTGCGGTCATTTCAAAGGAATTATATCTTTTATTTATTTCAAAAAGCATGTCCACCATCCAACTTGGTTAGACAATTTGTTTACTGCAAATAAATATATTGTAATAACCAATACAATTACTACACCATATCCTCCTGCCATGAAACACTCCCTGCAGGTGAAACAAAGTATTGGCAAAGTGTGTCTCGTTGCTCCTTGGCTTCCACAGAGGGATTTCTTGCTCTTCCTGTTGATGCAGACTGTAGCGCTCCCTCTCTCCTCCATGCCCCTTCAATAAGCTGATGGTTGGCATCCTCATAATCCACATAGGCGGGTGGCACATAGGCATCAGATCTCTGGTTGCGTAAAAAGTTGTGCAGGCAAAGACACGCAAAGAGAATGGTCACAACTTTGTCTGGATTCAGGCAAATAGTTGTTCTAAAAACTCTGAAGCGATTTGCCAAAATTCCAAAGGCATTTTCAACAACACGGCGTGCCCTGGAAAGACGGTAATTGTAAATCCTTTGATTTGTGGTCAGGTTTCGAAAAGGATAGGGCTTCATGAGATCCGTTTTCAGTGGATAGGCCTCGTCACCGATGAACATGTAGGGCATCATGACCTCAGTGTTGGGAAGGGTATCATCAGGGGGGACATGCAGTAGGCCAGCGTCCATAACAACTCTCAGGTCCGACTGGGCAAACACACCAGCATCAGACACTCTGCCCTGGGTTCCTGCACTTGCATACACAAACCTGTATTGGGCGTCAACTACTGCCATAAGTATGATGGAAAACCTGGACTTGTAGTTGTAAAACATGCTTCCAGTCTTGGCAGGGGGTTGAATGAAGATGTGTTTGCCATCCACAGCCCCTAAGCAGTGTGGAAAGTTCCACTTGTCAGCAAAATCTTTGGAAATGGCCTTCCACTCTGACTCAGTTGTTGGTGTCTGTGAAAGAAGTGAGATGGAGACATGGTGACCAACCAAATGAAGTTGAATAATCGCTATTTTTATTCACTCATTAGGATTGGCATACAGCTCAAAATGGTTTAATTTTCCTGTCCAAATGGGTTTTTTTTCTTTCAACCACCATAAAATATGGGTATAACTACAAATAACCAATGCCTATTAAAAATTATGTCAAGGCTGAAGGCAGAATAAATACAACATCAAGGATTCAGACAACCACATAATTGTGGAAAGAACTTTTTACTCACATTTACTCACATAACTAACTAATGTTAAGTGTAAAATTGAAAAGATGTGCAAAAAAAAAAAAAAACAGCATAATTCTTACTGCTTTCTGCTTACAAAGTGGACATGGGTAATGTAATTATTCCATACAAAAGGAGTACAATTATACATATGACCATTACAGTCATTTACCTTTAAGTATTTGTCACGTAGTACAGAAGTTAGGGCTGCACAGGTCTCCATAACAATCCTGCTCAGTGTTGTGCTTCCAATTCGATACTGAAAACTTAACGAGTTGAAGGTTTCACCTGTAGATAGATAGATAGATAGATAGATAGATAGATAGATAGATAGATAGATAGATAGATAGATAGATAGATAGATAGATAGATGGGTGAATATGGAAGATGCATAACATCATCATTCCTGGTTGAATGGAGAGGGATACAGAGAAAGGGGGTATTAAATTGTGATTAGATTTATGTGCACTCACCTGTTGCCAAAAACCGTAGCGTGACAGAAAGCCTGTCCTTGGGGCTAATGGCCTTTCTTAGGTGAGTGTCCTTCTTTGTGATGTGTGGAGCCACCTTCTCCAAGACGAAATTGAAGTCCTTCACAGAAACCCTTAGAAGGTCTCGAAAACCCTTCATATCATCCACCTACATTAATACATTACATAACATGATAACTAGTCAAGAAATGGCACACTGATATCATAAGCTGACATAATAATCAGTGGAATAGAGTTCAAACAGAAACAGGATTTGGAGACAAAGATATAATTCATATCTAGTGTCATAGCTAAAAGCAATATACTGTAAGTGATGTTCTAGGCTGTACATCAGGCGTTGCAGCATAATACAGACTATTAGTTGAGCCACTTGACTAAAACACTACTTGTTCAGCAGTAGATAGGGTAGTATCACTGTTTTGTGCTCTAAACTGGGAAGACAACTGTAGATTAACGGTCTGTGTATGGATTACACACTGCAAAAAAAACACTTTTCTTACTTAGTATTTTTGTCTTGTTTCCAGTCCAAATATCAAACATTTCTTAAATCAAGATGCATTTAGGCTACTAAAGTAGTAAAATGAAAGTCCAAAAAGTCTTGTTTTCTGGGGAAATAAATAAAAATTAAGTGAGTTTTTGCTTAAAACAAGCAAAATTATCTGCCAATGGGGTGAGAAAAATAACCTTGTTTCTATTTGAATTAACATTAGTCTTACCCCATTGGCAGACAATGTAGCTTTTTTTAAGCAAAAACTCACTTAATTTTGATTAATTCCCCCAGAAAACAAGACACAATATCTTATGTAATTTTACTCATCTAGTAAATGGTTCTTGATTTAAGAATTGTTAGATATTTGGACTGGAAACAAGACAAAAAGAAAAAGAAAAGTATTGAAGAAAATCATACTGAGTAAGAAAAGCATTTTTTGCAGTGCATTACACTTGAAGATTTTAAGGTGCATGAGCAATAATAGATAAACAGATGTTTTAACGAAAGAAAAAGAAAAGAGGGAAGAAAACACCTGCTTACCTCCAGTTCGCGTTGCAAAATGGATAAACCATATTGGCCACGTCTTCCGAGCCACCTGCGCGTCCAGATACGCCGACGCCTTTTTTTTTTGGTTGACTTTTCTGCACACAGAATTGCGCATATCACCAACGCAGCGCGTTTCTCACGGGACAGCATTTTTATTCTGAAACAGCCACAAACATCCGGGTTCTGAGGGATCCTACGTGTTGATTTCGCACGTGTAGTGCGAGCAGTCAAGTCGCAGCTCGACGATCGGACCGTACAGTGTGAGCACGTAAATCGTGAGCTTTGGCTTTACATCACATGCGATCTACTCGTACAGTGTGAGTTGGTACCTTGCCGAAATCGCACAGACGTCGCACAGTGTATGCCCGCCATAAGCCCTGTGTTTCAGGGCTGCTTTATTGGAGTGTACTGGCAGTCTTTGTAACCTTTCAGGAAAATTCTGCCAACAGCTTTCCAAGAGTCAGCTTGGAAATCATGTCTAATTAAAGGAACTTTCATTGTAGTTCCAAGTGTACAACGATCATAGAATTCTTGCCAGAAGGTACTATATATATCTCGGAGAACCCCCGACCCACAGCCAGCTTCCGCTGAATTGTCTGGCAATAAGCGTCTAAATGCCAGTTGCCTGGTCAAAGTCTCCAATTTCAGTGCTTTCTGGAGGCACATAAACTAATGTATTCTCCAGGTCAGATTCATCTCCCGAGTAAGGGCCAAATGTGATTTCAGGGTCAGAAATATTAAGTGGGTCATTCACTACATCATCTGCCATGATGAAAACTTCCTCAGCTAATGTAATATTCAAGCCTGGTACTACTGGAAGATCTGTAACAACTGAAGAATATGTATAGTTGTTAGTGGGCATAGAAGAGTCTGCTAAATCTTCACTATAATAACTTTGTAGTGAGATGATGCTGGCTTCATCATTATTTTCACTTTCAGACTCATTTGAAGTACTGTCAGCTGACTCGTTTGGCATAGTAGCTATGTAGAAGTGCAAATTTGGTAGTTTCACTGTCTCATGTATTGTGCCAATGGATGCATCTCTGGGAAGAACATTTTGTCTGAAGTCCCAAACTTCAAATGTGAAGTCACATTCATCACCCTTACAAGAATTTCCATCTGGGAAGAAAAGTTATTTACCTTCTTTAAGGATCTCATTGTATCCTGCATTAATGTCCATTGCAACCGTTCTAGTACCCCCTCCTTGTTTTGTTCTGACCTGTTTTGTTTCTTTGTTTTCTGTATGAATCCAGCCAATTTCAATCTGTCGCTTACTTGCTTTGGCTCTGGATTTGGGTTTAGAAGTCTCAGGTGTCTCTTCAGATTGGGGTTCAGTTGTAGATTGCTTTCTCAGTTTTATCTTTTCTCTCAGTCTTTCAAACAGACCCAACTTCCTTTTGGAAGCAGGGTTTTGATTGCGGCAAAAATTGAAAAGAGCAAGTCTATCTCCATATGAGGGAATATAGTTGGCCAGAGCTGAATCCTCCATTAGCAAGATAACATCTCTGTCAATCTGTGGATTAAAAAAAATTATATTCCATTTGCCTTTTGAAAGTACAATCAAGGTCAGTTTAAAGCAGTGTTTCTCAAACTTTTTCAGCCCAAGGACCACTTTATCTTCCAATTTTTTTCTGAGGACCACCTAACAAAATCCCACTCTAACACGCCCCCAAAAAACAACAAAATTGTAAGGATAAGCTAAATTTAAGTTTAACCCTCTGGGGACCAAGGGTTTTTTGAGGCCCTTGGGATGTTTTGACATGCACTGACATTTGTGCTTTTTTCAGTTATTTATAAACATGTTAATGGCAAAGGTGTAAATTCATTCTATATAGCACAAACGGGGCTACCATAATCTTTGAGCAACATGTATTTACATGTTTGTATTTTTGAGAGAATATTATTTATGCATGGTTATTGAAAAACTTAAAAATAAAAGTTTCTGAAATAAGGCCACAAAACACATATTGATTATTTCTTCACAAGACTTTTGAAAATTGTATCACATAGCCTAGAATATTTGCTCCAAAACTATGTGAGAATCATCCTGACTACTCATTCAGATAAGTCAATAAAGTCTTTTAGAATGTGTATGACGTGTTTAGTGTGAGAAAGCTTTATGCAGGAGGCATGATCTCTCATTAATATGTATGGCATTTCACACCTGAGAAAGACAAAGACCCTCCCATAATGGCCCTATTAGGTGCTATCAGGCCCTATCATTACGAGGAGCCTTGCACAAAGAATGAGGAGATTTAAAAAAGAATGGCTTTTATTGTTTGGATTTATTTACAACACAACATAATCCAAAGATACACAACAAAGGACTGGTTTCTGGTTAAAATTGCTTTTTAATTATATATATATATACACACACACTGCTTAGAATAAGTGAAAACACCCATGCTAAAGTTGACTAAAAAGAGGAATAAAAAATCTTAATGCCATAATTTAAAAAATGTGGAAAACTCCAACCTTTAGGGACGTGAATAATGTCCCTGAATTCTTTGTGAATGAATAATGTATCGCAAATAATTAAATGTTCTTCTTTAAAATGCAGGGTGCATACTCTGGACACTTCTATCACACACCCTTCACCATATAGACATGGTTTTATTTCAGTTCAAAGTTAGAGTTGGAAACATCTTGAAAAGAAAATAGTCTTTTTCCATAAATGTCTTAGATTGATCATACATATTTCAAAGTTGAGGATTCATTATTTTCATATAGCTTGCAATGGAACAAACATCTTAGTTGATTAGTTTATTGACAAAACATAAGCTTATTTGATGTCTTTATTTTGAAGCTTATTTGATGCTTATTTGATTTGAAAAACTTTATCCAAAACTAGTCAAAGAAATGTTTTTTTATTTCGTCTGTAAGTGCATATCTGTGCTTTCATTCATTCTCACACACACACACACATACATAGAAACATGATTCACAAAACAGTAGGCTATGCTATTTTTCCGTTTACAGACACTAACGTTATTCTATATCGCGATTAGAACAAAGCACAAGCATAAAACACTTACACTTCTCAGCTGAATCTGTTGCTCCTCCTCGAAGTGAAAATAAACCAGCCCTTCTGTGATAAATGTCCCAGGATTATTCCTCATAGCAAGACGAATCTTAATCTGACTAAAAAATATTGTGTGTTTACAGCATTTGCCTGGGGGCGTTTATCTATTTTGCAAATGGCCTCAACACATTATCTTATGAATAGCGCGCTCTGCGAGTGGGTGTGAACAAATTAACGATAATGAGCTGAGACAGGAGAAACTGTACTTCTCTTTAGTTTTTGACAGATTACATTGCAGGAGAATATTTGTTTTAAATGTGAATTGTTTTATTTAAAAGTAGAAATTTAAAGCGTTCTTTAGACGTATGTTTCATGTTTGTGTGATAAGTGGGTGATTCTATAATTTAGGGTACACTGCATGTCCACTGATGTTAAATATACTTATATGCTTACACAATCAAATTTTTTCAAACAAATTGCATTTTATGTGTAAACTTGCTTAATGAAATAACATCACACAGACAATATGTGCAATATATTCTTCATTTTGCTTAAAATGTGTCATTATGGCCCGAAATGTACAGTTTTGTCCATGTCCGATTTCAATGTGAGAAAGTTGAGGGTCCAAAAATGTCCATTAAAATCATTAAAAATAAAGCAATTCTTTTTGCAATCTTTTACAAAAGTCTTAATATTAAAGGAAAATAATAGTTTCAAATACAAGTTATTTATTTAAATACTCAAAATATATTAATTTATTCGTGTCCACAAAATGTTGGTCAACTATGTTACAAACAAAACCTCCCCCAGCAACTCAAAAATGGTTTGTCCCTAGACCATGTGACCAGCACCATGTGATGTCATTTTCCTCTGTGGAGGCCATTTCAAACACACCATGGTGAGTCTCCTCTCAGTTTTTTTAGTATTTGATGTAGAAAAGCATATTGTCAACGGCCGTATTACAGTTTTTTTCAAATGGTTACACACTAAAAAACAAATTTCCACACAACTTGCAAAATTCTACTCCAATGAGCAAAACACCTCCACAGATGTCCACAACATTACACACAATGTCTGCTTCACCCTTTTTGCAAAACATTACACACAGTGATTTGTAAAACTATAAACACATTTTCACACCTTAGACACAGATAAGGATTGTGAGGTTACTTCCTTGTCATTACAAAGCACTGGATTGCCAATGACCACACTAATGAACGAATTGGATAATTACAACCACCAGGCGTGGAAGCACACATGTGCTAATTTGAAAACGCAGCACTCAGTTGTGCTATAAAAGGCAGCAGGTGAGTTCACCTGTCTTCAACAAAAATGGAAGGAGTTAGAAGAAGAAGAAGAGTGAGAATAAGAGGGGGAGGTCAAAGAGGAGATGAAGGCGGTAGAGGAAGAGGAGAAGAAGTAGGTAGAGGAAGAGGAGAAGTAGGTAGAGGAAGAGGAGAAGTAGGTAGAGGAAGAGGAGAAGTAGGTAGAGGAAGAGGAGAAGTAGGTAGAGGAAGAGGAGAAGTAGGTAGAGGAAGAGAAGGAGATCGAGGAAGAGGCCTTGGTAGAAGAAGAGGAGGTAGAGGAGGAGGCCCAGGTAGAGGAAGAGGAGGCCCAGGTAGAGGAAGAGGAGAAGGAGGTAGAGGAAGAGGTAGAGAAGGACTTGAAGGGTTGATAGAACCTGAACAAAGAAGACGAGGACCAAATTTGACTCGAGAAATCCGTGCAACACTTATTGACCATGTTATCAACCATGGACTGACACTGATGGAAGCTGGACAAAGAGTTCAACCAAATCTCAGCAGAAATACTGTTGCGTCAGTAATTCGGACATTTCGTAGAGAAAACAGGTAAGCTAACCACACAGTACATTGAAACTGTAGCTTGCTGTACTTGTCATCAATAATGTTTACTGTGACATTTGACAGTAGGCTGCATATATATATATATATACATATACATTTTTTTTTTTTTTTACATAGGATTGAGGGTAGAGGACACCAAGGTGGAAGGGGCCCTATGTTCACTCGTGCACAAGAGGCTGCCATTGTGAACATGGTTTTGGCCAATAATTGTATCAGGCTGCGAGAAATCCAAGCCAATATCATCAATGATGACAATATTTTCAATAACATCCAACGAGTCTCTCTGTCAACATTAGGTCGAATCCTAAAGAAAAATCAAATACACATGAAGCAACTATATCGGGTACCATTTGATAGAAATTCAGAGAGAGTGAAACATCTGCGCAATGAGTATGTGGAGGTATGTATTGTTCATCTTACTATGGTGTGGTATTGTGCACTGCTCATAATGTTCTGTCACAAAAAAAAAATACTGTGCAATAGATATTGAATAGCATCTTATTGTCTTTACGTAATGTGTTTCAGAGAGTCTTGCAAATGGATGCAGCAGAAATTCAACATGAATTTATATATGTGGATGAGGCTGGATTTAACCTTGCGAAAACAAGAAGAAGAGGGAGAAATGTCATTGGACACAGGGCAATCACCAATGTGCCAGGGCAGCGAGGGGGAAACATCACCATTTGCGCTGCTATCACACAAAATGGGGTCCTCCACCACCATGCAAATCTGGGACCATATAATGCAAATCTAATTCTTGCATTTCTTGACCGATTGCATGAGATTGTCACAGCATTACACCAAGTGGACCAGATGCGGTACATTGTCGTTTGGGACAATGTCTCATTCCATCGGGCTGCTCTGGTCCAGAATTGGTTCCATGATCACCCTGATTTTGAAGTCTTATACCTTCCCCCATACTCCCCCTTCCTGAATCCTATAGAAGAGTTTTTTTCAGCGTGGCGGTGGAAGGTATACGACCTGCGGCCCTATGACCGTTTGCCCCTCATTCAGGCAATGGAGCAGGCCTGTGATCTTATTGAAGCAGCTTCTGTGCAGGGGTGGATTCGTCACACAAGGCGATTCTTCCAACGGTGCCTTGCCAATGAAGACATAGCCTGTGATGTGGATGAAATCTTATGGCCTGATCCAGCCAGACGGAGAGATGAATAGTTACAGTATTCTTGTTGGATTTACAGTTGTTTTCTGTAATTTCTGTTTACTTTACTTTTCTTCAGAGTCAAAGTGCATGTACTGTAATTCATGCAGTAATTTTTATTTGTCTACAGATTTAATGTTTCATTGATTTCATTGTTGGTTGATTACTTGGTAAGACATACTGTAAATAAATACTTGAAATATGAGTTTCCAGAAATCAGTGTTGTGCAGTGCTTGTAAGTTTATAGTAGGCCTATTTGTGTACATTCTCCCTATATCTCAAACTAATCATGAAGAATGTTGTGCGTTTGTCACAATTTTTTTCATCTAAATTATCCCTTACATAACAATATCTGGCCGAAAATCTAGCACATACTATTTCCTAAAAATAGTTTTTTTTACAAATGTGTTTTTTATTTATCACAGCAGTGTGAAACTGGCTGCAATAGTGTCTGATCATGGAGGACTGTGTTGGTTAAATGAAAACTAATAGCATTTTCACAAATATGTGTATATCTTTTGACTGAAGTGTGTATGTTTTGACAGAAGTGTGTCATTTTGCAAACAATCTAGGAATTATGCAAAATGAGTGTGGTGTTTGGATAATTGTGCTTATATTTTGAAAAAAAGAACCCGGTTTTCAAAATTGCGTGTAAACAATTGAAAAAAACTGTATTAACCATCAACTATGTTATGTACATTGTCATGGCTAAAAAGTTGTATTTATTATAATGAAATTTTGTGTTGAATTCTTTCATTAACCTGCTCAAAAAAATGACATGTGGTTAGCTAGGCTAGGTCCACCATTTCTGTTATGGGGAAGAAATATGGAAATTGTCAACTAAGTTATGGTCAACTAAGTTACGGTCAACTATCTGTCAACTAAGTTACATCAGTGCTCTATGGCATATCATGAACATTAATTGTTTCTGTGTTATTTATATGGACTGAACATGTGTATATATATGTTATGTATGTAGATATATTATTTTACTTTTAAAAATGATACATTTAAATAGGTCCCTGCAGCTGAGAGACAGCGGAGATACAGGGCTCGACGTGATGCAGATCCAGAGCAGAGAGCATAGCACAGGCTCAGGTCACAAGGAAATGTGAAGACAGTGGCAGATATGAGTGAGAGAGAGAAAAGAAGAAACAGGGCCTACTGGAAGAAAGCAAAACAGAATAGCAGAGAGAGAAAGAGCAGGCTTGAGAACGTAATTACACCACCGGACAGTCCAGACAACAGTCCACCTCAGAGCAGCAGGTAGAGTTCATGAGGCAAGACAGAAACAGGTTTATGCATTTAATGTTCCCAGTTACCCACATGTTTTGTCTGTACATTAATATACACTCACCTAAAGGATTATTAGGAACACCATACTAATATTGTGTTTTACCCCCTTTCGCCTTCAGAACTGCCTTAAAGGGGAAATGAAGCAGTCAGTCAAGTTTACATAATTTACAAGATGGATTACCACTATAATCAAAAATTATAAAAGAAACATGACAAATGTTAACATATAAAAGAAAAAAGAAACACCGTTATGTCTTTCGAGCGGCAAGGGCGCCGCCATTGTGCAGTATTATAACTGGTGACGTCACGGGGTTGGTTGGCTCCGTGCTGAGTTCAGTAAAATACAGTGAAAGATGCATGTAAGCTGGTCGATCCAGCGAACAACTAACGTTAGGTACAGTCATTGTTAGCTAACAGCTGTAAGCATGAACTAGGTAATGATAACTTAGTGTTTAGCTAGTGAACTTTATTAGTACCAGACAAAAAGACGACGTCTAACGTTAACAAACTGCACATGGAAACATTGTTCGTGATGTCTGCAATCATATTCCTGTCTCTTGTCAACACTATGGTCAAGATCAGCGTCTTGACAGCAGATGGATCGTGCTATCGTGGCGTAATAATCTGTTTGGTTGTAAAATGTATTACCTGAATGAAATGAAATCGAATGTATCGTCCTGTGGAATCATTCATTCACAGACAGCAGAAGATGTTCAACTAATAAAGATCTTCATCGCTGGCAAACAAATTGATAGATTTGCCGATTTGCTTTCACTAGACTGTACTGTAGGTCCACGGCCACTTCATCCAACGCTCTTGATGTTCTTAAATCTTCCTGTTACAACTCAGAGTCGAGTGTGAATAGAAAGCGCGTAAGTGATTCAGTGCGTGCAGAAAACTGAACAGATCATTCAAACTGATTCGCGAACCGATTTAGACAGATCTGCCAACTTGTTTGATGAAGTCTTTGAACATAAACGACAAAAAAAAAGAGTGATTCATTTGTAAATTGAGCATCGCTCGTGCCCATAAAAAAGATACAGCGCGCTAGGAATAAACTGCGCATTTAACAACATGTTTGCATTAAAATAAAGTGCGCCGTTTGCATCCCTGCATATAACGAGATTTGGGCCATTTGGGCTGTATATTTTTTTTATGGGCACGAGCGATGCTCAATTTACAAATGAATCACTCTTTTTTTTTTGTCGTTTATGTTCAAAGACTTCATCAAACAAGTTGGCAGATCTGTCTAAATCGGTTCGCGAATCAGTTTGAATGATCTGTTCAGTTTTCTGCACGCACTGAATCACTTACGCGCTTTCTATTCACACTCGACTCTGAGTTGTAACAGGAAGATTTAAGAACATCAAGAGCGTTGGATGAAGTGGCCGTGGACCTACAGTACAGTCTAGTGAAAGCAAATCGGCAAATCTATCAATTTGTTTGCCAGCGATGAAGATCTTTATTAGTTGAACATCTTCTGCTGTCTGTGAATGAATGATTCCACAGGACGATACATTCGATTTCATTTCATTCAGGTAATACATTTTACAACCAAACAGATTATTACGCCACGATAGCACGATCCATCTGCTGTCAAGACGCTGATCTTGACCATAGTGTTGACAAGAGACAGGAATATGATTGCAGACATCACGAACAATGTTTCCATGTGCAGTTTGTTAACGTTAGACGTCGTCTTTTTGTCTGGTACTAATAAAGTTCACTAGCTAAACACTAAGTTATCATTACCTAGTTCATGCTTACAGCTGTTAGCTAACAATGACTGTACCTAACGTTAGTTGTTCGCTGGATCGACCAGCTTACATGCATCTTTCACTGTATTTTACTGAACTCAGCACGGAGCCAACCAACCCCGTGACGTCACCAGTTATAATACTGCACAATGGCGGCGCCCTTGCCGCTCGAAAGATATAACGGTGTTTCTTTTTTCTTTTATATGTTAACATTTGTCATGTTTCTTTTATAATTTTTGATTATAGTGGTAATCCATCTTGTAAATTATGTAAACTTGACTGACTGCTTCATTTCCCCTTTAATTCTACGTGGCATTGATTCAACAAGGTGCTGAAAGCATTCTTTAGAAATGTTGGCCCATATTGATAGGATAGCATCTTGCAGTTGATGGAGATTTGTGGGATGCACATCCAGGGCACGAAGCTCCCGTTCCACCACATCCCAAAGATGCTCTATTGGGTTGAGATCTGGTGACTGTGGGGGCCATTTTAGTACAGTGAACTCATTGTCATCTTCAAGAAACCAATTTGAAATGATTCGAGCTTTGTGACATGGTGCATTATCCTGCTGGAAGTAGCCATCAGAGGATGGGTACATGGTGGCCATAAAGGGATGGACATGGTCAGAAACAATGCTCAGGTAGGCCGTGGCATTTAAACGATGCCCATTTGGCACTAAGGGGCCTAAAGTGTGCCAAGAAAACATCCCCCACACCATTACACCACCACCACCAGCCTGCACAGTGGTGACAAGGCATGATGGATCCATGTTCTCATTCTGTTTACGCCAAATTCTGACTCTACCATCTGAATGTCTCAACAGAAATCGAGACTCATCAGACCAGGCAACATTTTTCCAGTTTTCAACTGTCCAATTTTGGTGAGCTCTTGCAAATTGTAGCCTCTTTTCCCTATTTGTAGTGGAGATGAGTGGAACCCGGTGGGGTCTTCTGCTGTTGTAGCCCATCCGCCTCAAGGTTGTGCGTGTTGTGGCTTCACAAATGCTTTGCTACATACCTCGGTTGTAACGAGTAGTTATTTCAGTCAAAGTTGCTCTTCTATCAGCTTGAATCAGTCGGCCCATTCTCCTCTGACCTCTAGCATCAACAAGGCATTTTCGCCCACAGGACCGCCGCATACGGGATGTTTTTCCCTTTTCACACCATTCTTTGTAAACCCTAGAAATGGTTGTGCGCAGGGCTTGACATTAACTTTTTTGCTCACTAGCCAATGTGGCTAGTGGTTTTCCAAAGTTACTAGCCACACAGCATTTTTACTAGCCACATTTTTGTTGTTGTGAAATTACCTGATTAAAGTTGACTATGGCGTGCTAAAATTTACTTGAACTAGATTTACAACCCTTTTAAATGTAAAACCACTGTACACACGCAAATCAAGACTAGGTATAACAATACAGGTCATTATCATTAGCTCTGATAAGGTTGTGTGTAAAGCTCCTTTAAAGCTCCTATAAAACCATGTATTAAGATGAAGACATAGCTTCTTGCATAATAAAAGTGGTGCATGGATGTAGAAGATTAATAAAAAATATAAAAAAATAAACTGAAAAAACCTTTAGCATTAGAAACACTGTCTGTTTAAATATCAGAATCAGAATTACTTTATTGAGCCCCGATGGGAAATTCTTTGTTACAAGTTGCGTTTTCTGTGTCTTTGCACAGCAGAAACGTGTCTGACTGGTGTCTGCTGGTAACGTACATGGAGGGCTATCTCGGGATTCGGGCGTTGCAGCATAGACGGCAAAATAGGCTATAAGAATATTTCGTTCTGTATTGACAGGTGCAATATTTGATTTTTTTTTTTATTATATCTGCATTTGCCAAAACCTATGGACTTTCAAACATAAAAATGCCATTTATTAATATGTGTTCGTGTCAACATGACATATTTTCCTATTCTATTTAGCCTGGAAACGCTTCCAACAGGCTTGCGTGTCGCGTGGGAAATAGGCGTCGGTTTTTTTTCTAGCATGCACGCGTTTTCGGCGCGGCTCGAGACGCGCGTCACGCAGGCAGTGTGCAAGTTCTAACCTGTTAACATGGGAGCCGAAATAAAAACGGACACAC